AACTAACTTGTTAAACAAATGGACTGATTTTCTGTATAATATAGCAGGAAGCACACGGAGTTGAGTATTTTTCATAGATAGTTAAACGTCAGTACTTTACTTAACTATAGAGTAGCATCCAGATATATTTCTTCCATAGATAGTTAAACGTCAGTACTTTACTTAACTATAGAGTAGCATCCAGATATATTCTTTCCATAGATAGTTAAACGTCAGTACTTTACCTACCTATAGAGTAGCATCCAGATATATTCCTTAATATATCTGGATGCTACTCTATAGTTAAGTAAAGTACTGACGTTTAACTATCTATGGAAAAAATATATCTGGATGCTACTCTATAGTTAAGTAAAGTACTGACGTTTAACTATCTATGGAAAGAATATATCTGGATGCTACTCTATAGGTAGGTAAAGTACTGACATTTAACCTTCTATGGAAAGAATATATCTGGATGCTACTCTATAGTTAAGTAAAGTACTGACGTTTAACTATGTATGAAAAGAATATATCTGGATGCTACTCTATAGTTGTAAAGTACTGACGTTTAACTATGGGTTAAACGTCAGTACTTTACAACTATAGAGTAGCATCCAGATATATATTCTTTCCATATTCTATGGAAAGAATATATCTGGATGCTACTCTATAGTTAGGTAAAGTATAGATAGACATTTAACATTTTTCACTTCAACAAGGCCCAAGAAAAGTTAAAAGTTTTCGTTCATTTACAAGCTAAATGTATTCGCACTCTGTCATGGGTGTGCTATAAAAGTGATGTTTAAGTCCCATTATTTGATCAGATATGAGTAACCCTAAAGATGGCAATGGTTCCTTCACTCTACTTTATTACTCCAATATTAGGAACGGCTATTAGCCTATGTGTAGCTTTGCGTGAAATTTTAACAAAACTGAACAAATGAAGATTGTTCTAAAGATTAAAGCCTACGACTAGAAATAAAGACAGAGGTGATAAGAGAATGTGACATTAATATTTTTGGTATAATTATTAAATACTGGATAGAAATGGCCCTGTTTAAACTTGGATCACCATATTTGCCGGTGTATAAGACGATAATTTTTACTCATAAAACAAAGCCTGATTTTACCCCTCGTCTTGTACATAAGTTCAAAGATAAGAGTTCCAGTAAGAACTCTCCGGTTAGTAGCATATCTAACCAAAATTACGTTGTTCCTTTCATTTTTTGTTTGCTTTTCTTAGTAAGTAGGTTGACATTGTGCCACCTACTGGGGTATAATAACATATTTGTAATTATATCATTTGTCTCGATTCTTCATAGCCTTAAGTTAGTTATCTCATATGCTAAATACAATTAATCAAGACATTTTTGATTTGAAATATATTGACCTCATCCGTCATACTATATCAAAAAAGTTATTTTCTGTAACGTACATTAATTTTGTAAACACGTTTTCATAGTAGATCACTATATCTTAAGGTTTAATAATTTTTGTAACAGAAAAGGAGTTTAACTGTGATGAAACCTTGTATAGTTGTTTATTACATGTTTGTGACTTTAGTTAAGCCTCATTGAGCTGTCTGTAGCGTTTGAAGAGCATAAAAAAAACACTTATGGTTGTATTCATTACCCCAGAGCGCAGGATAATACAATTTAAAAATAACTTCTAAGAATTTCTTTACAAAAGCCCCCCCCCCCCAGTGGCACAGCGGCATGTCTGCAGACTTACAGCGCTAGAAACCGGGTTTCGATACCCGTAGTGGGCAGAGCACAGTTAGCCCATTGTGTAGCTTTGTGCTTAACTTCAAACAAACAAATCTTTACAAAAGTAATATCCTAGACTTGTTTGACAATAGAGGTCGTCCTATACACCGAACTTCAAAGAAATACCCTTAATTTGTTTTTAAAAATCCAGGGTCATCTTATACAACAGCAAATACTCTACGCAACATTAGCGTAGCTACACTAAGTCGTGGCTCCATTAGCTCTCTCATGTAATGTGTGTAAATCCGGTGAGATTTGTTTTTGAGGCGTGCGAACCTAGGCTGAGACAAAAACGGGCATTTTCATTTAGAAATTAGGTAAGTTCAGAGATATGTTATATTTCTATAAGAATTATGGGGTCGTTATGTAATTAAAACTGAGTCAGTTTTCCAACTTAGAGGTATTTGTGACAAACATTTTCGGGATCCGATCCTCCAGTGTTCCCCAATAATTTCAAACTTATCATTTGAAAATTAGGTAGGTTAGAGATATATTACATTTCTATAGGAATTATGGGGTAGTTATGTTATTAAAACTGAATCAGTTTTCCAACTTAGAAGTATTTGTGACAAACATTTCCGGGATCCGATCCTCCAGTGTTCCCCAATAATTTCAAACTTATCATTTGAAAATTAGGTAGGTTAGAGATATATTACATTTCTATAGGAATTATGGGGTAGTTATGTTATTAAAACTGAATCAGTTTTCTACCTTATAGGTATTTGTATTTTTGCTCTAGTGACAAACATTTCCGGTATCCAATTCTCCAGTGTTCCCCAATAATTTCAAACTTAGTTTAACGGTTTGGTCAGCTACAGTGCCTGTCAGTGAAATGTTTACTCTTATTCTGACAAAATTAACCTCACGGATTCCTTGAAACACAATACAAACTTACATGCCATCTTCACTTACTTCACAAGACAAACACAAGTACTGTATTTTGTAAGTTTTAAATACATTCATTTAATATTCTGATTGGTTATATGTTAATGTGTGCATATTTCTATTTGTGACACTGTTTGATAACGTCATCTTATGGCCACAGTTGTGGATAAAAAAAAACCTTCTCTTAAAATGTGACAGCGTTACTATCTATGGGTAGTTTTCAAAACAAATCGGAATTTCCTGGACTTTAACGGTTAGCAAACACACACACAGGAATAAAGTTCGTCCTGGATGTCCGAGAGATACTTGTGCAAATTGTATGGCAACGATATTACAAAATATGGAGGACGCAGTCATGGTTGCATCTGATCCTGCCACCCCTAAATGTCGTAGTGGTTCATCCCTCCATCTCTGTCTTGATCTTCATATTTTTGTTTTTGTTTTGTCAATCGGCTGCCATACTGTTGCCTTCTGTCTCCATTTAGCTTACTCTTGTTTAGCTAAGTGTCGCGTCAAGCTCCAATGTTCCCTGTTACCAAGTCTACTACATCTTTAAAATCCCGTTCTTTCCCTGACCCATCTTTCCTTGTCTCTTTGATTTACTTACAGTTCTGTCTTCATGTTATTTATCAATGTACACTTTTCACTCTCACGTGTCTTTCCTATTATTGTGCTTTGATAAACGGTTTAGACATGTTTTTTCTATTCCTGTAAACTCCCAGTGGAGCATAGGGCCGCAACAACACCTCGCCAACGGAAGGTGTTGTTGCAGTTACTTGTAGCAGGTTGGTTTTTACGGGGCGGAGTTGCTAGCCCCGCGCCCAACCCTCCCCCTTTCTTACCCTGGACTTAGGACCAGGCAAAGGCGGTATCTTCTAATATAGATATATTTCAAACCGAACAAAATGTATATATATATATACAGCGCAAGGGATAAAAGAGAGTCAGTTTTTGTACTTGCACTTGTCTCATTTTGTAAATAAAAATGCCGAACTTTCTCTGTGTTTATTAATAATCAACAATAACCTTACGATCTGTTGATATATGTTTTATCCATTTAATTCAACTTAAAACCACTTTCAAAGCAAGTAACTTTGTCGTGTTGTGTAAAGAGATAGTATTCTCTGATAGTCGATGACAAACATTGATTTGCAGTTTGTGTTTACAGCATAACATTAACGACAGATACTATACTATGTTGTAGCTACAGCAATACTTACAAACACACACAAATATCATGATATACCTTCACACTGTTATGAAATAACTATATACTTATAGTGGGGGCCGAGCGCGGCCCAATGGTTCCAAAGTATCGCGCTCCGTTACCGCTAAAAAAAAATCGCCGTCCGAAGTATCGGTCCTTTGGTGCGTTATAAGAGTGACGATCAATTCCAGTATTTCAATAGAGTAACCCACAACTTGGCGGTGGGTGGTGTTGACTAGTTGTCTTCCCTCTAGTCTATCACTTCCAAAGTTGAGAAGATTAGCGAAGATGGCCCTCCAGTAGCTTTGCGCAAAATGCAACAAAGAACAATGAGGTTTCATCTTGCTCTTTTTGGAAGTAAAGTCGTTGACGATATCCAGTAAAATCTCGTAAAATAGTAATCCTGTTCTCAATCGTCAATGCAACAAAGGGAGCTTGTCTTTCTTCTCCGTTGATCGGAGGTGGTTTTTGACACATTTCGTCAAATTAACGAAAACGAACGTTCTCTGGAGCATTTCGAAGTTGGTATAGATAGCAAAGCACGTTCTATGTAAGATGTCCACACTAGGGGTGGTTGTTGTTACAATGAACTATCTGTACTCTGCCCACCGCGAGTATCGTCCAATGTGTCGTTTTGTTCTAGTTGTGTCGTTTTGTTCTAGTTGTGTAGTTTTGTTTGTTTGCTGATGACCGAGTTTCTCAAAACAGCAGAATAAACTAACAACATTTGTTACGAAACCCGTCTTCGAGTTCTTGTGGATTGAGCGTTCTGAAAATTTTTGTCTCACTTTCATTTGATTTAATTTAGTAAGAAACTACTATTTTAGTCTTTGTAAGCTTCATGACGTCAAACAGTCACTGACAACATGGTAACTTTCAATATAAGAATCATTTCGCGTTCTAAATGTTTGACTAGGGACAATTAGAGGGGGAGGGGCAGGAGGGCCATTCGGCCTGAGCCTCAAATTTAATCACTTGTTATTTTTGCATTTATCAAGTTTCGCGACTTGTTTTTATGCACAGAAAAAGGCTAGAAAAGCATTTATTAAATGGTAATAAATATATAGTAAATAAAAAAAATATTAAATTATGTTTCACTTTTCTTTTGGGCTAATGATTGTCTTATTTTGTTTTCATGTGTCTTCTTTTTTTTATTATTATAGCCAGGGGCCTTGAGTAATAGAAGTGACCTAGGCCTCTCTGAACCTCTAAGAGGCCTGTGACCATCAATAGAACTGTTGATTCTCCGGTTATTCTTCTCCTATTCTTACTACGTTGTGACTACGCTTTGTTCCCATCAGTCGTGATGTGATGACCCACCCCGGATTTAGCGTGTTGGTCAAGTGCAAGTGGGACTTCTATTGTCAAAGTGTCCGCAGTTGGTGGGAGAAGGTATATGGCGATTCACGGTTCGCAGAGAATTTCCGAAATCCACCAAATTTTCTAACGCACTTTTTGTCACTTATAGTCTTTTATATTCTTTTGTGTGTGTTTTGCAGCCCGAGATAAAGACGCCGTTTGCAATCAGTTATTTACACAACTTTTTCTTTCAATGAAATATAATTAATTCACAGAACACAAAGAGAGAGAAAAAAAAAAGAAACTCACACTAACAAAATCGGAAAATCGAGCAAACAATAACCTCAAAATGATGATAGTTGACAGACACATTTCTTAAAAAGATTTCAGTGATAGTTTACTCGGCAAAATTACCATCACTTCCACCACCTATTATGTTTGTTGTTGTTTTAATTAGTTAAAGTGATACAGTCATGCGGGAGGTTGCTGGACAATGGTGCCTTTGCATTTACGGAACAAGCGGCCTAGAATTTTTAGATGAAGGCAGTAAGTAAATACGTTATTAATAAAAATGACTTATCTGAAACAGATTTATTGTCAGTGAATTGATTTCTGTAAAGTCTATTGCGAAACCTTACCCGTCATGTTACCCATGAATTACTATCTTTTTCATTCAATTACTCTTCTTTTAATTTGTCAGTTTGATCTCTTACTTTTAACTTGTTAGTTTGTTCCTACTTTTCACTTGTCAGTTTGGTCTCTTACTTTTCACTTGTCAATGTGGTCCTTACTTGACAGTTTGGTCTCTTACTTTTCACTTGTCAATGTGGTTCTTACTTGACAGTTTGGTCTCTTACTTTTAACCTGTCAGTTTGGTTCCTACTTTTCATTTGTCAGTTTGGTCTCTTACTTTTCACTTTTCAGTTTGGTCTCTTACTTTTAACTTGTCAGTTTTACCCTTACTTTTCATGTGTCACTTTTGTATCTTACTTTTCAGTTGTCAGTTTGGTCTCTTACTTTTAACCTGTCAGTTTGGTCTCTTACTTTTAACCTGTCAGTTTGGTTCCTACTTTTCATTTGTCAGTTTGATCTCTTACTTTTCACTTGTCAGTTTGGTCTCTTACTTTTAACTTGTCAGTTTTATCCTTACTTTTCACCTGTCACTTTTGTATCTTACTTTTCACTTGTCAGTTTGGTCTCTTACTTTTCACTTGTCAATGTGGTCCTTACTTGACAGTTTGGTCTCTTACTTTTAACTTGTCAGTTTTATCCTTACTTTTCACCTGTCACTTTTGTATCTTACTTTTCACTTGTCAATGTGGTCCTTACTTGACAGTTTGGTCTCTTACTTTTAACTTGTCAGTTTTATCCTTACTTTTCACCTGTCACTTTTGTATCTTACTTTTCACTTGTCAGTTTGGTTTCTTACTTTTCACCTGTCAGTTTGGTTCCTTTAACTATAAAATGTATAGATGTCAGGACGTGTCAATAAGAAACAGCTACAAATAAAACAAATTGTTAACTCATTCACATAAACTAACAAGTCTAACGATGCTTAGAAGAGTGGTATACGAGAGAAGAAAGTTAGTGTTGTATTCCAGTAGTGAAAGTGTATTTTAAAAACAAAAATCATTAAGTTTAACTCTACGGTTTTGCTGAGTATAAAAACAGAAAATTAACCAAATGCAGCCAATCGTTGGTGCAGTAGAACTAGTCAACATAACAATTGACCTTGCACAACAATTGGTAAAGGCCACGGTTGGTGCAGTAGAACCAGTCAACATAACAATTTACTTTGCACAACCATTGGTGAAAGCCACAGAAGTAAGAGAACCTGTATATAAAACAGAAGAAAACTGGGTATTTGACAGAAGTTAGAGATGATAGTAGAAGGATCTCCCCCAGTCAATACATTTTACAGTTTGAACTAATAACTGGAACACGGTCGATCGTTTAGTTTGGCTGTCTGCCTACTAGAAGATGCACCGACACGTAATTACTGTTCACTCTTCTTATGCAAACGGAGTGGATGGAGTCCAGGGACTATTGCTTCTCGTAAACCATGGTTGTCTCGAGCTAGCGTGAAAGCAAACACAGACCGTGGCATTGCAACAGTCTCGAGCCTGCCGTCACTTCAAGATAAACAGATCGGCGCTCCCAGACCTTGTTACGAGCGCCAGTTCTCTTGCTGTCTTATCAGTGAACGCAGCCCACACTCGTGATGGCCGTGATAACTGCGGGCGTTAAATTAACGGCAGCGGTCACAGCTGCAGTGTTCTATTTCCACGAGACAAGGGGCGGGCACGCTGCCAGAATGTAATAAATCAGCTCGTGCCGCCACTCCTCCCCAGGCGGCCCCCTCACTTAGTGTCTTCGTACCGTCTGACTCAGCTGAGCATGTGTCAAGTGCTGAACCAGTTAGATGTATCGTGTTTTGGATGGTGTTTGATGCAATTAGTTGGTGCAGGTGCTATGATAAGAAACTTTCTTGTTACTGCAGAAATACAGTAGTTGTATGTGCTCAAGATGAATTCTGCAAGGTCTTAGAGGCCTCGTTTTAAACGCATTTTACTATTTTCAAAGCAAAGAAACAGTAATAATACCTGTTAGCATATGCAAATATTTTGCATACAAATAGCTTTTCAGATACATTTTGGTCGCCATTGGTCTAACTCTACTGATGCGTTTTGTTATTGAACAAAACTAAACAAAATAAAAATAAATCTTCCTGTGCAATGACTTATGCCAGACAAATCATAAGCATGAAACTATCTTTACCGAGATTCCGAATCTGTATCAATACCGATTTATTAAGCGGAATGTGAGAAGAAGAAAAATTTCTGCAGTCAAGCATGATTTTAATTACGTGAAACTTCGGGTGTATTTAGATCACATTCCTCACAGATACGACTATACATTGTCGCGTAGCAACAATAACCTGAAATAGTCTATTTTTAAGAATTGGTGTCTTACTAATATATGGCTTCGGTTTCTGTTTTTTGTTTTTTTTTCAGGAAGCACAATGTTCTAAGTGATTGTAGGTCATCCTTTCATATTAAGGATGAATTATTTCACCTAGTTTGGCACTTCTTTTCATGGATTAGAAGATATACCTTACTAACTTACAACTATCTACGCACCATACCAACTTATAACTAGCTACGCATTAGCCCCCCAGTGGCACAGCGGTATGTCTGCGGACTTACAACGCTAGAAACCGGGTTTCGATACCCGTGGTGGGCAGGGCACAGACAGCCCATTGTGTAGCTTTGTGCTTAATTCCAAAACAAACAAATCTACGCATTATACTAACTTATCTACAATGTGTATCTACGCGTTATACTAACTAACTATCTACGCATTATACTAACTTTAACTATCTAACTTATAACTATCTACGCATCATACTAACTTTAATTATCTACGGATTATACTAACTAACTATCTACGCATGATACTAACTTATAACTATCTACGCATGATACTAACTTATAACTATCTACGGATGATACTAACTTATAACTATCTACGCATGATACTAACTTATAACTATCTACGCATGATACTAACTTATAACTATCTACGCATCATACTAACTTATAACTATCTACGCATTATACTAACTTATAACTATCTACGCATCATACTAACTTATAACTATCTACGCATTATACTAACTTATAACTATCTACGCATTATACTAACTTACAATTATCTGCGCATTATACTAACTTATAATTATCTACGCATTATACTAACTTATAACTATCTACGCATTTTACTAACTTACAATTATCTGCGCATTATACTAACTTATGACTCCGTGCATTCAACAAGTAAATTGCTTGTTTTTAAGCACAAAGCTGCACAATAGGCTAATTGTGCTGTGCCATTGCAGGATCTAACCCCCGAATTTTAGCATTATTAGCTCTCAAGCTTGTTATTGTCACAACAAGTTAACGAGCTATACAGCTATACCGTGTTTTTATAAGAACATATCATTTTGTCATTTTAGAATGTTTTCATGTGATAGGTAACATTAAGTGCATGTATGTAGATATATGTATATATCTTTGATATTTACATATTTCATTGTGGATAGACATATATTTCTGAGTCTATAATTACATCACTTAGTAGGGGGTATTCTTCGAGACGTCATAATTTTACAGATTGGCAGGTGGGAATTTGTTCTAATTATTGTTACCGGAGGGCGCCTCAGAAGTTGGATGAAGACAATTATGTTTGTTAACTTACAACATTTAAATTATATATATATATATCATACAGAAACATTAACTAATATTGTATTTTCAAACGAAAACTGAAAGTACATTAAATTTGTCATTATCTATAAATAAATGAGGAAAGTTTTTGAATAAGTAAAATTAATATTTTATTTCATCAAGTTTGTTACATTTTGATTATTTGTATAGCATACTTCATGATTTACTCACATGATTATGCATATAGTAGTTGAATTTACAACCTATGTAGTCCTGAAAAAGAACCGTTTTCCATATACATTTATAGATAAAATATTCAAACGCTTGATATTTATCATATACGTCATATCCATGTTATTATTCACACAAAAATTTGACTTACAATCTACGTTGTCATAAAGGGGATTATTTTTTGTTAATTTATACACTAGATGTACTTCGGCAAAGTATAGTTTTTACTCTGTTACAATGAAGAATCATAAAGCAAGGTTCATTCCAGGAACAGTAACACCACGAGATTGTAGAGTTTGGTTTTTACTCTGTTACAATGAAGAATCATAAAGCAAGGTTCATTCCAGGAACAGTGACCCCACGAGATTGTAGAGTTTGGTTTTTACTCTGTTACAATGAAGAATCATAAAGCAAGGTTCATTCCAGGAACAGTGACCCCTCGAGATTGTAGAGTTTGGTTTTTACTCTGTTACAATGAAGAATCATAAAGCAAGGTTCATTCCAAGAACAGGGACCCCACGAGATTGTAGAGTTTGGTTTTTACTCTGTTACAATGAAGAATCATAAAGCAAGGTTCATTCCAAGAACAGGGACCCCACGAGATTGTAGAGTTTGGTTTTTACTCTGTTACAATGAAGAATCACAAAGCAAGGTT